TATAAAAATAACAATTGTAAATAAAAATCATTCAAAAAATTAAAATTAAGAATACATTTTCTTTAATTTTTAAACATTACTAAAAAAAATAAATCATTTCTTATTGTCTAGAAATAGGAATAGTATCAATTTCATCCCCTCCCTGACCATCATCTCTAAATAAAGCAACTTCCATTTTTGGTTCATCGAGAGATAATGATGTCACTTCGAGATTTTTAACACTATCAAAGCTACCCCATGCATCTTCACTAATGTCCCACATTCTAGTACTTCCTTACATATATTCTTCACTTTTCGTAGACAAGAGTTGCAAATTAGTATGTACATAAACCAAGTCTTCTACTCTTTTAGGATTGAACTTATTTCTTTTCAGCGAGTGAGTGAAGGAATAAGTACTCCAATTCCTTTCATAACAAGATGAAGAACTAGGTTGTACGAGAAGCTTTAAAGAAAGCTTTTGAAGGAAAGGGGCAGAAGAACCATGCATTACCCACCATGATTTAGGATCTAACATCCATCTATCTTCAATTGAGTCAAAAGAATAAAAATTATGAGCTTTTGATGAGAAATCAGTATATGCAAGAGCAACTTTTCTTCTTTCTTCAACAATTGTGAAAAAGATTTTTTAAACATTTATTTCTCTCTGCTTAAATTCCTTCATCCTCATGTGGGGGAATTCTAATTAGAGCTATTAGAAAAGAATGACTTGATCCAAAAGGTGGGGGGTGAATTAGATCTATCAACACTTTAAAAAATTTATCACAATTATATATTTTTATTTCTAAAAACAATTTTCAAAGAAGTTTATTGAAACCTTGGTATATGGGATATGTTCCTATATGCTTTTACAATTCTTCTTTAAAGATTCAATTCACAACCTTGTTGACATGCACTAATTATACTTCAATTAAACCTTTTAAACACATAAGAATATTAACCACATGCAAACATATGTGAAGCAAGTTAATTTTTCAATTAAAAATTGCATAAAGTGAGTAAGTATGAGAGAAAAGTGCAAGATTATGTATCCTGGTTCAGCCACTGCACATGTGACCTACATCTAGTCCTCAATCATAACATGATCAAGATTTGTTCCACTATCTCAATGAAGAAATTTTACAATCACATCACACATGCAAAAGACTAAAACATACAAGATAGACCCTTTGTTGCACCTAAGAAAGTACTCCTTGTAGTAACCCACTACAAGAACTCCTACACCTGAGAAACCTACTCAAGTATCTTACCACAAAACACAAAAAGATTATAGAATGAATTCACTTGTAACTGCAAATTTAGATAGATGAATTATCTATCAAGTCTTTGTCCCTTTACAAGAATGTGGATGATGATGATAATCTTTCAAAACATTTCACAAAGATGTTTATTTCTTGGATTCACGAAGAAATCTCTCCAAGAAGATCACATAAATCAAAATAGTTCACAAAGTTTCGCTTAAAATCACTTGCTTGCGTTTCTGAATGAGAAAACCATTTTTATAAAGTTTTCAGGCTTACATAATTGATTATTTTTAAGGATAATTGATTTTTATTTTTAGCAATTCTGGAAATCACTCAAAATAGAATAATCGATTATTTCTCAGGATAATCGATTATTCCAGAGAACACATTCTGGGATAATCAATTATTTCAATAGATAATCAATTATTACCACGTTTTCCATGTTATTGAAAAATAGAGCAAATAGTCGATTATTGCTAATGAATAATCAATTATTTTGAGTTGATTATCAAAATTTGATTTTAAACATTTAGAAACTTTCCCAAGTTGTGCTCTATCATCATCATACTATTTTCAAGACAATCAAGATAATGATTTTACGCATGCATAAAACATAAACTAACATAAACATGCATAAGACAAAACAATCAAGCAACTACTACATATGAACTACACTATTACAACTTTTCACTTAAAACATTTCATGATATTCATGCTTCCTTTTTGTAATCATCAGAACACTTAGAATTTGATTCAAGAGCTTGTGAATCTCAACAGGAGCCTCTTAAAGTCATTCATCATTATAGTACCTATGATAGGCTAATTTTACCTAGGATTCAAAGAGTGAGCCATGTAGTGGAAAGGAGTGCAATTCATAATTTACCTATCAATTAGTATAAAATAAATAACTTCATAATATGTTGATGTATAACTTTACTTTTTCTATCTTAGTATCCCACATCTCATAGACCAAATGAAGTGTGAGATTATCTGTGCCACAAGCCCTGAGCATAATATAAATAGGCTCAATGAAATTAAGAATATATATAATTTTGTCCCACAACACATCATTCAAAATAAATTCTTTTGCAGCTTGAGCCTTACCCACATCATCTTCTCTAAAAGAGTTTCATTCTTCACTAATAACCATCAATTACAAACTACCTTTCAAAAGTTTAAATCTCTTTAACATCACTAGAATAGATGCAAAACGTGTTTTAGTTATATCAAACAATTTTATAGGTAAGATGTGATTGAAAATTCCAATTTCATTGAGTGATTCATGATAAAGTTCCTAACAAAAGAAACATATTATAAACAACTTGAGTAATCCAATTACGTTCATCATAAGCTACCTCATTCCTTTTGGCAACACATATATTCTTCAATGCAAGGTTCAATGTGTGAATAACATAAGGAGTTCACAAAAATTTAGGAAAATAAATTTCAACAACCATTTCTACACCTTTTCATACAGGAGCATAATTATGTATTATAACTAGAACAACATTTTGTTTTCCTACTTCTTTTATAACTTCTATCATCCTATCAGTTGTATAGTGTTTGTTTTTAATCTCATCATAAGCATTAATAGCTTTTAAAAATATTGGACCCCTTTCACTTGCAATCATAAAATTAATTAAAGGCCTTCTTTGGATATCTACCCATCCATCAGATACTATGCTAACACCTTTTGCATTCCAAGTTGATTTAATAGGTTTAAGTAACCTCTCAACTTGTGCCTTCTTTTGATGTAAGAGAGTTGTCCTTAAGGCATTGTATCCTGGAGGAAGAAAACCATTAAGCATGTGATTTGCAGCAAATGAATAAGAATTCACATAATAGGAATTTTTGGCAAGGTTGAAGAGCAAATTAGAAGAACAAATCATTCTAGCAATGTTGAGATTATCCTTATCTTCTAAATTAAATGTTTTCTCCAAAGTACCAACTTTTCCCTTTTTCAATAAAGAACTTTGATGCATTTGCTTTGTTGGCAATAAGACATGCTTAAGTTTCACTATATTTTTAACCAATTTTCAACAATTGATTTCAATTCAACCAAATATTGATCATTTACACTTGCATACACAAAAATTTTAGTTCCTTAACAAATGAGCTTTAACTCTTGAATAAAAACTTTTAAAAATGTTATGACAAAAATTACAAGACCAACCCTTATTTCTCCCCTCCTGATTTTTTTTTTATCTAATATGCTAATGTAACACCAAAGACGAGTTTGATCATCTTGTACAACATCAATAGAAATGAACTTACTTGAAATTTTAGAATTGACATTACAATCAGACTCAGAAGCATTTGGTGTTGACATTATAAAAATATAATTTTTATGCTTCTATAAAAAAAAAGTATATCTATATTAAATAAATTTAATCACTTAATGAATCACAAAAAATATAAAATTATAAAGCAATAAGTAAATTCACAAAGGGCATTATAACTTAAAAAAATTAAAATAATAAATTAAATATTATCAATATTTTTTATTTATAATTTTGTATTAATATAAAGAAATTATATAAATATTGAATATTTAAGTATTTAACTTATTTTAATATTATAATTTCATCTAAATTAGTATAGATTAAATTAACAAAAGATGATTAAAATTTAAAAAAAACATTTATGCAAGATTGGAATCTTGTTAGTTTAAAAATTAGAAATTAAAAAATTGCTACAATTCTTTTATAATTTTTTAGAAACACTAAAAGAGAATTAAAAAAATAAAAGAATTTCTGATTGTTATTAATTTATATAGGAAAAAAATAACTTTTTTTCTTACAATAGACATAAAAAAAAACACACACACACACATCAATTGGAGCAGAGTTTTTCTTTCTGAGAAAAAAAAAATAATATACGCGTCTATCATATGCATAAATTTTTGGAAAGGACCTAAATCCTAACTATGTTCTACCCCTCTCCATTAGAAATTGATTATATTATTAACAACAAAAGAGGCACACTTGGTAGAGAAGAACTAAAAAATAACAATAAGAAAAATAATTGAAGCATATTGATCCATTTTTATCTCTAGATTTTTGCAATTAGCACAGAAGCCACGTTTTTAGGAAGAGAATGTTAGGATTAGGGATGGCAACGGGGCGGGACGGGTACGGGTTTCATGATACCCCGTCCCCGTTCCTGCGAGCCAAACTCATACCCGTCCCCGTACCCGTACTTGTCTGGTGTGTGATTTTCATCTCCATTCCCGTCCCCGTCGAGTATCGAGTATTCTCGTACCCGTACTTGTTAATTTTTTTTTTTAAATATAATATTTTTAAATTATTTTTTAATTATATTATAATTATAATTAGATTATTTTTTTATATCATATTATAATAAATAATCACACATAAAAAATACTAAAATTCTTTAATATAATTAAATTAAAAGTAGGTATTTAATTAAAAATGGGAACGAGTACGGGTACGGGTACGGGGCGGGTAAGTACATACCCGTACCCATACCCGATTTAATATATCGGATTTTAACCGTACCCGTACCCGATCAAACTGGATATTCCCCATTAAAGTCGAGATGGGTTCAAGTATTACCTGCGGGTACGGGTATATTTGTCATCCTTAATTAGGACGTTGTTTTCTCTCTTGAAGGTGAAAAAATGGGGTGGGAACTAATGCAGGAAGTTGAGAGCCCGTGTGTGTGGGACCAATTCCCTTTTAATGTCTTTCGTTGTGCATGTGTGATAAAGAGAACCCATTAAAAAAAAATGTCCTTTTTTGGTGCCAAGTTCCCTCCTCCTTTAATGAGAGAGAGAGAGAGTTGTGTCAGAAGCTCCGAGCATCAGTGAAGATGAAAAAATATCTTCCCTAATATATTAAATCATTGCACATTTTCGAAGTTAATAACAACGACGACCTTGACTCTACCCCTTCAAAGACTCTATCTTTCTATCCTGCTTCCAGTGTACCTGTTCATTTAGAAGCAACCAACTCACTGCTGCATACATTCTTTATGGAATAGGTTTCCACTGGGTTTTGAGGCTGAATCGTTAGCTTGACGGGTGAGGTTTTTGACAGGGTACAACTTTGACAAGGTAGTCTCTATCTTCTCTTTTGATTCAGATCAAGCTTTGCCAAATTCTAAGATTTCTGTTTCGTGGTTCAAATTTTTGATAATTTATTTTGAGAGAGAACTGACATTTGTTTTTAAGTATGTAGCAAATGTGATCGAGTTCAATGATTTATTGTGCCTTTTGGTGTGGTTCAATAATTATCATGATCTTAGACATAGCTAGTTTATTTACTTTTAATTAAACATTAAACACTAATAACTAGATAGGGTGTCAAGATCTAAAGGGCAAGCAGCACACAGCAAAACAAGACAGATCTCAATAGTTAAATCAATTTTACCCAAAATAGAGTGTAATAAACCCAAGAGGTGGGCAGAATGGTCCAACTAGGATGAATCACTTCTCTCACTTATCTTAATTGAGATTATTTAACTTAATAAGTATACATATCATTTAATTCAATTGAGGTCATTCAGTTAAAAATAAAATAAAATAAATACATTTTTGGTCCACATAATTTACTATATTTTCATTTTTGATCGCTGTATTTTTTTTAGTTGTTTCATGTTTAATATTTTATAACATTTAAAAAATAGTTTTTACTGTAAATTACCGTAAATAAATCTTATATGATAAACGAAATACATATTACATTTGTTATATTTAATTTCACTATTATTAAGTAAGTAAAATAATTTTAAATTTTTTAAACAATTTTAAAATGTATTTCATTTTACCACACTCAAACCCTTACCCTTATGATCACGTTTTCTCTTTTCCATTAAATTCGATATTACAAATCCTAAACTTCATAATTCAAACCTCAATTATCTAATGAAGAATCTTTCATAATCTATGTTCTTAATAATATGGTCAAGTTCGTCCTCAACAATTATAATATCAACAATATCGTCAAGTTTATCCTCAACAGTCATAATAGTTAAATCAATTTTATGCAAAATAGTGTGTAATAAGTCCAAGAAGTGGGTGCACAACGATCCAACTAGAATGAATCACTTCTCTCACCTATCTTAAGTATACATGTCTTTTAACTTAATTGAGATCATTCAGTTAAAAAAAATTTAAAATATACTTTTGGTCCATTTTTTAGAGATAGAAAATCTTCTGAGTGAGTCAGAGTCTCAGCTCTTATCACGAGTAACATTTTAATTATAAGGTGTAATTAATTTATTTTGATGTCTGTTTCTTTTTGTTTTCAACATATTAAAAATATAAAAAAACAGTATATATCATGGTGTAATGAAGTGGCCTCATCGTATTAACAAAGGGGCAGTGACTCTTTCCTCAACTGTGTCAGTCTGGGTGTTTTTTCCCTTTCACCTCTAATATTCAATCTTCTAACCACTCATTCATTCACTATGTTTTTCCATAATTGCAGGCGATGGACAAAGATTTCGAAACATGGCTAGACGAAACAATGGTATTGTTGGGTGCCATACAAGAAAATGATTGTCAGCCACACAGCATTGCCATTGTTCCGGAGGAACTTGGGAAATGGAGCAAGAAAGAGTACGAGCCAAAGGTGGTGTCGATCGGGCCCCGGTTCAAGGGAAGAAAGAAACTTCTACCAATGGAAGAGATCAAGTTGCGTTGCATGCTGCACCTTTCTAAGAGAACAGGAAGAGATTCTCTCGAGGAAAAGCTAAAAAGCTGTATGAGATTCATCTTTAGGTTAGACGCAGCTGTTCGCACTAGCTATGGGGATCAAATCGATTTGGACAGCTACGGTCTAGCCACCATTATGTTACACGACGCTTGCTTTCTCTTAGAGCTTTTCATTTCTCAATCAGTGGAATGGAATTCAAAGCTACAACCCCACAATGACACACTCCCTCCTAGCCCCGCAGCTCAACTCGGGAATATCGAACTCATCTTGAGCGATCTCACCTTATTAGAAAACCAGATACCCTTTTTTGTTCTCTTTCACGTCTTCGCTATATTTTTTCCCCATCTCGTTCCTAACGACAACCCGTTTCTCTGGAAGATTTACCTTAGTATTACACAAGATTTGGCGCTGTCTCTTTTTGGCTACTCTCGTGATTCAAGTTCTACCTCTATTCCCGATCCCATTGATGCCTCTCACATTCTTCAACTTATTCACTCCTTCATTCTCAATCCCCAAAGCCACCATGGTTCATGTGTTATTGATATTGAAGTTAATGTTAATAAACAAATAGAACCCAAATTTTGTGCCACTAGGCTCTTAGCCGCCGCTGGGGTTACTATAGTCAAAACTGAAGACAATTCTATTATTCCAAAATTCAGCAGCAGGAATGGGGTGCTAGAAGTTCCTCCCTTGCATATCACTCAAACCATGGAAGCAACGTGGCGAAATTTTATTGCTTGGGAGCTTCACACTACCAGGTGGAAAAAAAGTGTTGGAAGAGATTTGTTCACTGTTCGGGCGTTGCTCTACAATGATTTGATATGCTGTGCAAGCGACGTTCAACTGCTTAAAAACAAGGGAATCATCGTAGATGAGTTGGGTATGAGTAATCACCATCTCATGGATCTTCTTCGTTCCATCACAAATGGAGTTGACCGTGCTCTTGTTGATTCAACTTACTGGAACATGATTCATGCCCTCAATACCTATAATGCAACAAATTGTGTCATAGGCTTTCCCATAATTGTGTGGCATTATTTGAGCCGATTTTCAGAATGGCTTTACGGTCTGAACAAGTTTTTAAGGCGCGGTTACAACTTTGCTGCTGCGTTGATAACTCTTCTCACTGCCATCCAGACTTGTTATGCAATACTCAGCTATCATTATCCAAAGAAGAATTAGTTTTTCTTTATCCAATTTATGTTATTTAAATGATTTTCCATTGCTTTCAGAATATTTACTTGCATTGTATTAATTTCTACAAGGCAAACTTACCTTCTTTGTTTGAGTTTTGGATTCCACGTTTGTCCTCTTTCTCTTTATGATAAATTTGTGTGTGGTTTCCCAATTTTTTGTTCTTCTCATCGGATAATTTGTTATCATTTCAAACTTTCAATCCATATATCTAAGCAATATCAATAATGTTGCAAGCAAAGAACCATTTGAAATGAAGTCATATTTGATCAGCTAAGTGGAAATTTGTCATGTTGTGGTGTCTATGTAATCATACTATTTAATTGTTCAATATTTAATTATTAATTATTTGTCATAATTTTTATTGCAATTTATATTGTACATATCAAGTATACCACGATATATAATTATTTGTCATTGTCATATGGTTGGACATTATAACATGTGTCATAACATATGTCATGATGACATGATACGTGGCATGACAGCATAACACGTGGCACGACAATATGACATATGACATGACATGTGTCAAATTTGTTAAGTATTTAAACGAAGGATACAAAAAATCAAACATTGAGATACATTTTAAAGATATGGGACTAAATTGATTCAATTAATTAAAGTGAGACTAAATTGACACTAATAAATAATATAAGGAAAGAAAAATATATTTTTACCTAAAAAATATTTAAAAAATGATGAAATATATAGTGATAAAAAAAAGACAACAATAATAACAACAAAGGATTTGATCAACGTGCCACATGCATGAACCATTATGAAAAAATGAAAAATCTTACAAAAATGAAAAAAATATTTTTATTTATCTATTTTTTATGTTTGGTTTTTCATTTTTTTTTAAAAATCTGATAAATAAATATAATTTATTTTTAAAAAAGTTGAAAAAATGTGTAAGATTTATTTAATAAATATAGTAAAAAATTTAAAATAAACCTTTTTCATTTTTTTAAATATCATATTTATAAAATTAATGGGCATCTCCAATGCAAGCAACTCATTTGAGTTGCTTCATGCATTAAAAAATAAAAAAGTAGTCTCTAGTGTGTCATGTCAGCATTAAGCAACTCAAACACAAATTTACTTCAATGGTAAGAAACTTTATGAAATTCAACTTTTAGAATTTTTTTTTCTAATCATTTATGAACCAAATTTAAATTTTCATTAAAAATGATAATTGCACTACGATGAAAGAAAATAAATTACGAGAAAAAATACACAATAAGTAGATATTAAAAAAAATAATAGTAATTACATAAATATTATACGAAATTAATTTTCATCATTATTATTTTCAAAACGTTCCCAAATATGTTCAATAAGATCAGCTTGAAATCTGGTAAGGAACGGTTGCTTGAGGAAACAACTCTCTCTCTTCTTCAAGTAACTCATGTTGCTATGTCAGAATCCTCCAATGGCAACAAACTGAGACTTAAGTTGCTTCATGGGACAAGCAACTCCCATTGGAGTTGCTCCACTATTTTTTCTTTCCAATTTTTTGTTTTTTTTCAATTATGTTTCTTTTGGGCCACTAGCAGGAATAGCGAAACCCAAATATTTTACTAAAATAGAATTTTTTTAAATTTTTTTTACCAAAACAGCACCTGTATCAATTTATTTACCCAAGTAGCACCTTTTACTATTCATACTCAGAATTCAATTCTTGGAGAATCGAATTCTAAACTTCAATTTTTTTTTGTTCTCAGAATTCGTAGTGTTTTAAAAAAAATTTCATTTTGTAGTCCAAGTTTCGCGTCGATTTTGCAATTGGAACGGCCCGTTCTGCGAGCAGAACGACCGATTTTGGTTGCATGCGTAGTCTATTATTTTTGAAACTGGAACGTCCAAGCAAAACGGCTAGTTCTGATTGTTTTGAAACGGCCCATTCTGAAAGTAGAACGGATCGTTCTAAAAGTAGAACAGGTCGTTCTTCATGGAGAACGGACCGTTCTACAAGGAGAACGGTCCGTTCTGCAAGGAGAACGGTCCGTTCTGCAAGGAGAACGGGCGGTGCTGCAAGGAGAACGGGTCGTTCTGCAAGGAGAACGGGCCGATCTAAATCCATTTTTATCTCCCATGCTCAGATCCAAAATGGAAAAAAAAATTTAATAGCTCAAAATTCGGTTCCCCGAGTGTGAACAGTAAAAGGTGCTACTTCGGTAAATAAATTGGTACAAGTGTTATTTTGGTAAAAAAAAAATTAAAATTCTATTTTAGTAAAAAATTCGCGAAACCCTCACCCCCCCCCTCCCATTTTCTATTTTTTCTGTTATTTATTTATTTATTGGTTTCATTTTTTATTTTTAAAACTTGATAAATAAGAATATTTAATTTAATAAATTAAAAAATGTAAGATTTATTTAATAAATATACCAAATTTTAAAAATAAATGCCCTCAATTTTTTAATATTACATATTTAGAAAATTAAACTTAACTAATAACAAAAAAGTCATATACATATTTTTTAAAAAAATATTTTTTTAAATAAAAAAAAAAAGTGGTGTCATGGGCTAGAGAGACAGAAAAAAAAATGCAAGTCACTATGACTTATAAAACTAAAAAAAAAAATCAACTTTACACATAATTGCATTTTACAAGTCACTATATGATTTATGATGTAATAATTATAAGAAAAAGTATATAAAATTAATTTTTTTTCTCACATGTAATGGGTGTCATTATGATCCATAGCGACACCTACAACAACATCTTCAAATGTGTAAAGTAACTTTATTTACATAATTTATTTTAAAAAGTGACTCTCAATTGTCAAAAAGCTAAGAAAGTGAAAGTGCACTTGGAGTAAGAACTCCTAGCAGCAAAGCTTGTGTCTAAGAAGTGACAAAACAAAATTAAGCTTGAGTGAAAAACCTATGACAAAAACTCTCTTTAGTGCTAAGCCCTAAATCTTAAACCTCTTTTTATTTGAGATTGTGTGTTTTGGAGGCTTTAAGCTCCTTTATTAATGGGATCAAAATAAATGACTATTATTAATTAGAAGTGGGCTAAGTTAATTCAAGGTCATTGGTCAAATTGATATCTCTGCTCACTAGATAATGCGAAAGGTGTAGGTTTTCCTTACTCTTTCTCTTCTCGTTTCTCCTTCTTTCTTAAAATAAGTTGTAGGAGTCAAGATTATTAAATTTAAGAGTCTATGTAAACTTTTCATAAACTCTTACGAGTTTACTTATTATAAAAATAACATTAAAAATTCTATTAAAGATATATATATATATATATATATACATATATATATATACATATATATATATATATATACACATGCATAATATAATATTTTTAATACAACAAGAATTCAACATTTTAACTCAATAAAAATGCAAAGTTCTAAACTACAATAATAAAGTGTTATAATACATTAATACTAAATAGGATTAAACTACATAAATAATCAAATTATATAATTTCATAAAACATAGCTGCTGACAAAAAAAATATTTCATAAAGGAGTTGATATTTTTCAAATAATGAGTCATAGTAAAACACTAACACTATGGAGACAATTTTATTTATTTATTTTTTTTGTTAAAAATGAACAGGTATCGGTCTATTAAATTTTTGCATGGGAGATGCTCAAGAATAACAAAACTAGTTGTATCTTCCCGGGTATCTTAGAGAATTAGGTTCAATAAAGAAATGCCTGAAGCAAATAAAACCAATGCCCTTCAGTTTCTTAAGCCCCATAATTAATAAGTAGAAATTCAAATGTTCACTTGCTCGTGCATCGAAGTTTAAGTCTACACTATGAACATTTCAAAAATAGATGTAGCTTGTAACAATTGAACGAGATTGTCAATTGATAGTTCAAGGTTCCGTACAAACAATCCTCGTGACACAAACATGCTCGTGTTCTCTCCTATAATAAAGCTCAAAATATCCGGAGGCACACTTCTATTGTATCAGAACACTAGAGGCACAAAGACAATGTACTACTATACTACAAACTTTCTTCATTACCACATCAACTAGAGAACATGGTATCACATGTGTAGTTTGTTGTACCACATACAAATAAAGTGGCTAGAGCAGTGATCCCCTCTCACTTCCAAAATCATTTTCTTCAATCTCACTTCCATCATAAGATGTGGTGGAATTGTTATTTACACTTGGTTCAGAGCTGGTAGTGCTGCTTGTGGCAAGTGGGGAATCAGAAACACTCACTGTTCTGCTCTTTGAGGAACTACCTGATCTCACACTGTACATTGAGGAAGCTGGAATGCTTGTCACTAGTGGACGCAGATTACCCTGGATGCTTCGCCTTATGTCCTGTGGTGTGAGAAGATGAACCCAAGCAAAAAGCATATTTTGATTATTATTGAATTCTATTCTCCTGGTGCATCAGTAATACAAAGTAGTATATATTTACAAATAGTAGATAATCATCCTAGTAACAAATCTGTAACTGCCTATTTATGGTTAATGACTAACAATATTGCAATTATCTAATTATGGTTATAAAGATCAAAAAATATTGATCCTTAATACCCCTTCTCAAGTTGGGTTGTATATATCAATGAGACACAACTTGGAGACAACTTTTGTAAAATTCCTTGGATACAAAGCTTTGGTGGCATCTGCTAGTTGAGATTTTGATGGCACATGAAACAAATGAATCAAGCCTTGCTGAATCTTTAATCTTGTGAGATGACAGTCCACTTCAATGTGTTTTTTTCGTTCATGAAAAGTGGGATTAATCTTGTGAGATGACAGTCCACTTCAATGTGTTTTGTTCGTTCATGAAAAGTGGGATTTTTTGCTATATAAATTGCAGACTGACTATCACAGAAAATAGAAAATGGAGTAGGAATGTTGATAGATAAGTCATGACATAAAAACAGCAGCCATTGGAGCTCACAAGTAACAGAGGCCAAGGCTCTATACTCAGCCTCAGAAGAGGATCTAGAAACAGTGGATTGTTTCTTAGATTTCCAAGAGATTAAGGCTGAACCATAAAATATGCAAAAACCAGTAACAGAGCGTCTAGTATTGGGACAAGAAGCCCAGTCAGAATCAGAGAAGGCTTGAATACGATGCTCAGTTTGAGAAGGATAAAATA